AGACAAATGGTAGAATTTATTACGACTTTGATTGTTATTTATATATAATAAAAAAACAATTCAATTACCATAGGGTGTCGGAAATTCCGAAATAATTGTTTCACGAAATTTTCATTTCGTTCATTTCGTCGGGTCAGTTTTAATCTTTTGCTTCGTTTGTGGGTGTTCAACGTTTGCTTTATTCGTGGCGGTGGTTTCACAGCAAGTCCTTTTTCTTTCTATTTTTTAATTCGCTATATTAATATCTACATATCATTTCGCACGTCACGTCGTTCTATTCTATTACATTGGTATTTGTGCAGCAATAAAATTTACAATTAGCTGTACATTATAAATCCAATTCGGGAAACCATCGACGAGTATATGAGTCAATCCTTTCAAAAATTTTCTCTTTCTGAATTTATTAAAACTATTATTCACGACCTGACGCCAGATGTAGCAGGTGCCATGTCAGAAAGAATGTTGTTGACACAGCCTGATGACGATTTTTTATGTAATCTGACGTCCATGTAGTGAAAAATTTTATTAATTCAGAAAGAAAAAAAAGAACTAAAATTTCTGAAAGAAGTTTGTTTGTACTCGTTGACGGTTTCACGAATTAGAATTGGAATCTAATTGTAGATTTATTACTGCCCAGACACCAATTTAATACAGTAATATAGAACGATGTGCAAAATTATATCAATTATTATAAGGAATTGAAATATGGGATTACGATTGAATAGGAAGGTATTTAGAAAATGACTGACTAGCTGACTGGCTAATAAACCGACCGATAAACTCACCGACCGAATCACAAAACTGCCCAAATAATAAAAACGATCAAATAAACACAACTATAACTCTGGGTGATAACGGTCAATGAAATGATATGAGCTAGTAATGATATGTTTATTAAGGCTATTAAGGATAGCCTCATAAGAATTAATTCTTTGAGGCCAAACTTAGCCAAGTTGCACCATCTGTTATCTCGATTGAAAGGTAGAATTAAGATCGAAGGGCGTATTGTCGAAACTGGCTGACTAATTGACCGACCAAAATAAACTGACCGAATGAAAACACCGACCCAATCACCAACTTATTCAATGGCAAATCGACCAAATAAGCACAAATCTTTGGTCGCATTCCTTCTTAGTTTTTATAAGGAATGTTTTTTAAGGAAGAAAGAGATTTTAATTTATAATTAGACATATAATTTTACTAATTTCTTCCATTGACAATATTTTCAGGAGGAATATATTAAGGAATATTAAGCATGGGAAAACACTATTTCAGTTTTTACGACAACACAGGTCCCCTGTAACGCCACAATTATTAAGAGTGACCAACAACTTACCATGGGAAACAAGATATAAGATTTTTAGCATTAAAGAAAGGGCTAAGTTAGTGGCCCTTTGGAGCCTAATTTGACGGCCAGAAGGTCCATGAAAACAATAGTTATAATTATTTAAATCTTATTTTATTTGAAAAATTTCCATTGATTATTTTATGCAGTTGATTATATTCATTCACAGGTCCTTTAACATGGAAGACTTAGAAATGTCAAACAGAAGACCTATGGATTCTTATGACATTATCTTAGGGGCCTCTGGAGAAAGGTTTTATGATCACTGGTCTAAGCCATAAGCCATATGTTAGAAAATTCTAACTGGATGCATAGCTTGAATATATTTAAAATATGATGCAAAAGCTATTGTTTGACTTCTCTTATTTGATTCCTTTACTGGTTATTTGCCAGATTTATATTTCTCGTTTGATGAATTTATACGCTAAGTCGCCTAACAAGATAAATTCTCTACATTTCAAGATTAAGTTTTAGTCTTGCAATTTTCAATTTTCTTTTTCTTTCTCTTGCATCACAGTTGGTTACAAGGGTAATACGCTTCAACGTCGAATTTGTTCAACACCGAACACCGATGTGGTAGAATGAAAATTGGTGAAAAACTTGATTCATTCCATTATTCTTTAACACTTAATAAAATATCAATTGCAATTGCAATTTCAGACGCTTATCAGTTTTATTTGCTATATGATGTCCATTTTGTGCTATATTGCCTCCTATCAGTTTCACACTGCTTCAGTAATCTTAGCGAGTAATATCCTTTATCACATTGTGGACAATTTTCTAGCGTATGTTTTTCATTGCATTAAAAATCATTATTCATTAAATAGGTTTTTAGTATTTCTCGAAATGAAGAATGCTTATCAATATTAAATGTTTATTTCAACAAATTTTTAATAGGAATCATTGAAAATAATTATGAACCATTTTTATAAAATTCGATAAATACAGATTTGTCATTTTTGGATATATAAACTTCGAATTGCTTTCTTAAATTCCATAGTCGAAAATTTTGTGATTGTTGATAATCACTATGGATGCTTCATGAAAAGGCAAGGAAACGCAGAATTGATAAGTATTGTGAATTACTGAAGGTTCACGGCCAATATTATTCAACGACGCAGAAGAAAATATGAAAATATATGCAAGAGCTTAAAAATCAGTGAGCCAATCGCGTAATGAATTAGTGAAGGAAAACTTCTAACAGCCCGCATAATTACTGCTGGTTGTACTGAGTGAGAACTGAATCTTTTGATCGAAGGAAAGAATCTGAAAGAAAAGGATAAAGAAAACCATTTCCTCCTTTATCTTTTAAGCCCACACACATACAGCGATCTATACGTCCGGAAAACGAGCCAATTAATGTTGTAATTTCACTTCTTGATTTTAATGCCGTTCAATGCTGTTCAAGATTTGATATGTGACGCGATAGGCCCATAAGTGCGGAGAAAATGGCCGAACATTTTGTATGCCGCGTTGTTTCACGATATTGTACATGCTAGTATTATTCGAGATTTGGTGAATAAAATCGCACGAGATTCTATTCATTCCGTAAAATATACGTGAAGAAAGATGAAAAGACTTGGACAAGAAAAGCCAACCAACGAGAACGAAAGGTCATCTATAGGTCATTTTGTACCTATAGGTACGTGGAACATCACAGCTTATCATCTGAAATTACAAACTTGTGGCAAATGTGGCAAATATTAATTATAGCAATAAAGAATAATTAATAATTAGACTCAGACGAATAACTGCCAATGGCTCATATTAAATATATTGGCTATCCAAAGAGGAGTAAATATACATACGTGGTTGAAAGAAAACAATTTGGCTGTTTCATAAGATGTTTTTCAGGCTAATGGTCATAATTTCTGCGACGAAGCAAATCATGCGAAAGCGTTGTGCCAAAGTTATGGTTGTCAAAGCTAAACCATTCCTCATCGAATGAATTCCACAACGCCCTAACATGCGATAATGTGGGATATTGAAATGAATTCGTTTATTCCTTTGAAAATTATTAAAAATTATTATTGAAAATTATTGAAAATTATTAAAAATTATTATTATAAACTATCGATTTGCGCCACTATTTCCATTTGAATTCATAAAATGCGTGTGCATAGTGCATGTGAAATTTTTAAGATATGGAAATCCGAACTGTTTAAAATGCGCTTTTTGGGATATAAAATAAGAATGAAAAATTCTTAAACATGTATAAATACAATTTCTTTTTCTTCTTACAATAGACGCACCAATGTTGGTTGGGTTAGCCGAAAGCGAATGTGCCAAAACTGTGGTATTCAATGTGAAACCATAACCATGCTAGCGAGGATGGGACTCCAAAGATGGGATTTCACTCGACACTGAAGTGTAACTGAGAAGAAAATAACTGAGGGCACCCTTTACACTATACATCCTCTGCCTATGGACTACCCGTGCATTCAAAATCTCTCCTGGCTGAGCCAGTCAGAGTCATTATTTGATCTCGATTTGATGGCATCAGTCCAAACAGCGAGAACGGTGCGAATTCCTATGCAAAGAAGATGGCCCAACCAGAAGTATTGCAATAGTGCTGGAGGATTCGTGCGAAGACAGTGCTATCACGTGAGATCATATCAGCTAGTGCTGGAGGATTCGTGCGAAGACGGTGCTATCACGTGAGATCATATCAGCTAGTGCTGGAGGATTCGTGCGAAGACGGTGCTATCACGTGAGATCATATAAGCTTAAAGCAGCTTTACAAATACTTATCTGAACTCCTTTCCATTATTCCAAAATCGAATTGCTCACGCTTGGAATTTCCCGAGCTTAAACGTCACACAAAACCTTATTGCAACGCAGCACCTTAGGGCTGTGGAAAGACTTTCGTTTGCCCATTCGGTGCCATTAGGAAAGAGAGTGAATCCGAGCTATTTAGAGCTTGGCATCTCTTGAACTGTTTGTTGCTCTTTCTTTCTAATACATTTTTATAAAAACCACTTTTGCTATAATTTTTTCTTTCTCAATTATTGTCACTACTTTAACTATCTAAATTTCTTCCACTATAACTTACAAATTGCTGAAAACTCTCATATTACTTACATTCCCAACGTTGCATCCTCGAACAAGCAATATGAGGAAACTAGGGAGAGGCCGAGTTCGGCCGATCTGATTTTTGGTATTTTTTTAAAATCGTACGGATTTTTCTTGGTTTATGCTAATTTTTGCTACAAGTTTCGAAAAGTTTTCTTTTGCTTTTTATGTTTTTTCGTTGAGTTTTTTAGAAAATATAGTGGAAATTGTGATTTTAATTTTCTAATCCCTTCTACGGGCGTGTCTCATTCTGGCTTATCTCGCTGGTTTGTCAGACAAATTTCATCAGGAAATCACTTGGTGATAGTAGACGTGAGTGGCCAGCGTTATCACTTGGTGATAGTAGACATGAGTGGCCAGCGTTATCACTTGGTGATAGTAGACGTGAGTGGCCAGCGTTATCACTTGGTGATAGTAGACGTGAGTTCGATTTTTCGAATTTTTTCAAGAAATTTTTCAAAATATTTTCTTAAATCGTGCGTGTTTTCTCATAAAATTTTTAATGAAATCATCTATGAAATGTGTAAGCGTATAATTTAACGTACAATTTAAACTATTTTTAATTGATTTATTCATTTCAGAAATGGAACGATTGGAACCTTTCGAAAAGCTTGAATGTGATTATTATCTCGATGATAAAGGAGGTTGGTATAGTGATTGTGAGAACAACAGCAGTGATAGGTTATCATTGTTTATTTCTTTCTCCTTTTTGTTTATTGCCATTTTAGCTAATCAAATATCCTTAAAATTATTGAGTATTTTTTGAAAGATTAACAAATGGGTAGCTTGAGGCTTCAGAATAATATTTGATGAGTGATTATTTGCGTTTATTGATTATTAGCATGGTTAGCAAGTCGTGCACTGAATAGAATAAGAATTATATTGCTTCGACTGTGGGCAAGCAATATTTCCATTCTTTTCTTCTGGCAGTAAAATTGTTGTTTGTAAGTGAATTCCAGGTGCCTTTATCCCTATCTTTGCTTAAAGTTATTCTTGCTTAAAGTTATTAAACTAATAAGTGATACGTAAACTTAATCTGAGCATTCTATTTATTTCCTATATCATTCGATAAATGATTTTGATTCTTAGCAGAACTACGAAATCTTTATGGTACTGCGGATCCAATTTGCTTAGTCCACTTTCTGGAAAATGGAAATCTTTTTATTCGAGTCACTTTCAGATACATGGGAAAAATGACTAGAACAGAATAAAATTTTGTGGATTTTATAGATATCCATGCAAATACAATTCAGTCAAATGATTTTTTTGCAATTGCTTTCTTTTTTCGTTCAAAATTGCAAAAAAAATTTTTTCTAAAAAATTAAAAAGATATTTTTTAGTAAAAAATATTGCAGTTCGGACGATGATTTTCGTGAACGTGTCGCTCGATTAGCTGGAATTCGTTTTGATTGTCGAAAAAAAAGAGGTTTTTATCTTTTAAGTTTATTCGAATTAAAAGTTTAAACAAGCTTCTACAGATTGCTTTAATAATTTCTTTAAGAATTAATATTTTCTGAAATTTTTGAAATTTGAAGGTTAAATTTAAGATTAATTTGGAAAAATAAATATTTGAAATAAATAAATATTTGCTCCTTTTTTTTTCCAGTTATTACGCAGTATTCTTACTGACTACAGGTGAAATTATTTAAAAAATATAAGGTGAAATAAAGTGAAATTATTTCGACAAAGAGTAATTTAATGGTGGAAAATACTGGCAGATTTTTCCCATTACCCAGATTTCACTTTTAATGACAGATTTACTCATTACTTATCTAGGATTGATAGATTTTGAACCTTTTATGCTGAACCTTAGCCAAAGCCACATAATAGCTATCATTCTATTCTCAGTTATTGTTGAATTATTGCTCCAATATTAAATATTCCCCAATTTTTAGCTTCGGTATTCATTTAAATTTTAAAGGTAACAAAAAAGTGGAAAATAAAGATGAATTTGAATCTGATATGGACAGCGAACTGGATCAACAGTTTGTTGATCATACATCAAAAAATGTTTTCTCTTCTTCTTTGGATAAAATTTCAACTGGCAGTCTGGACTCGCAAACATCTGATCTTAAAGGTTGTATTGTGTTTCGGTCTACCTAGGTTATTCTTAGTTACCTAAATTCTTTTACTGCCTTAATATGGTTTAAAAATTGGATACCCAAAATCTGGTTATTTAAAACGCTTGAAAACTTTCTAATAGGTTAGATCGGTCTGATTTCGTGGTTAAGCATATGGAGTCATTAGACAATCGGCATACAGACAGTATCTTGGATTGCAGTGATTGCTATTGGCTATGGTTATGTAAATCTTTCGCTTTTTTTAAGTCTTTTATTTCTTTTTTTCTTACAATATTTTTAATGGTTTTTTCTTCTTTAAATGCCAGAAATTTAGCCATAGCAGCGGACGAGCAAATCCAAGTTAACAAGCCCAATGAAAATGAAAATAGACTGTTTAATCCAATATTAAAGATTGGCACAAAGAAGGGTCAATTTTTTTCATCTTTTTATTTTTTTTTAATCTATTATAATTCATTTAAGTGTCGTGCAACTTTTTTGATTCAAATTTTATCAGTTTTTCAATATTTCAGCTGCTCAACTTCCATCCACTTCATCGCGCAAAATGGTAGGATTTCTATTTCGGTGCCAAATTCATGATAAAATTTTTCAAAGATATTCTTTTGCATGCGATTTTTTATATTTTATTATTTTTTCAAAGTAAATATATCGATCGTAATTCTTTCAAACGTATAAATGTTTTTATTTTGGCAAGTTTATCTTTTAAGGTATCGATATGAATAGGTATGAAATTAAGGTATCGATCAATGACTGTCCGGAAATAATAGGATCTTTGGAAGTGCGTGAACGCCTCAACGAAAGTAAACAGCAATCTTCATTTGATGATCAGGATAATATTTTACGTAAAGCCGTCGATAAGATCAGAAAAGGATGTAGAACCCCTGAATTTGATTTTTATGATCCAAATGAAGACGATGATAATGAGAAATGGGTTAATGTTTCTGTTTTTCCTTCATTATCTAATTTTTTTGAGTTTTTCTTGATTTTTCTCCCAAATATTGTATATTTCATTTTTGCACAATTTAAATGGCAATTTTAGATTTATGAGCAAAGAAAAAGAATGAAAGTCATTACTTCTCGATACAGCCTTGATAGACTTGGTTGTGGTGATAATTCTGATAACACCAATGGTCCATCAAATAAACTTCCAGATAGTGATGCAGTACTTTCTTGTCCTGCGTGCATGTGCCTCTTGACACGTGATTGTCAGCGCCATGAACTTTTTCCAAATCAATATAGGTATTACTTGTTCCATCTTTGTTGCTGATAGTTTAGAGAAAATTTAGCAAAAATTTGTTAATGTATTCAGTTAATGTATACATATTTTTTAAATAATAGTGATTTATTTATAGAGCGATGTTCGTTGAAAATTGCAAGGTCATTAGCGATCAGATGTTATTTCTACCTACGTCTGATAAAATAAAGAAAGGAAAAAGAAACTCAACAGGTCTTTATCTTTAGAAGATTTTCGATGGTTTGTATCCATGTTGAATTTCACTTATTTTTTAACATCTTAAATCTAATTTGCAGATCCTATGCCCAATACCTTTGTGGCAAATATAAATACAATACCAAAAGAAGATCTCTTTCGCCCTGTGCAATGTTCAGTGTGTAATACGAATGTCGGAGTATTCGATTTTGATGAAGTTTTTCACTTTTTCAATGTTTTAAGTGGTTATGCTTAGTAAAATTTATCTCTAGAAAAATCTGTTGATTTATCTTTAGAAAAATCGCCATTATTTTCATTTTCAATCAATTTGAGATTTAAATATCTTTTTAAATCATTTTTATTTAATAAATTTGTTTTCTTTAATATTATATAATTATATATACTTAATAATTTCTTTGTATTTTCTTCGGATTATTATATATTTTATAAATTTTATAAATTTATTTTATAAATTTAAAACAATAGAACCAATTAAGAGATATTTAAATATGATAAAAAATTTAATTTCATGCTTTTTATTACTTCGTCTTGAATATTTATTTTGAAAAATTCGCCAGAAAATTATAGATTTATTACTTGAAATAAGCAAGGCAAATCAAGCAGTAAAATCGCAATTTAGTGGTCTTAACTTTTTATTCATTTTTAAAAAAAATACATCGTATCGCATTAATATATTTGCTCAGATACATTTAGAAAATAGTGCTCACCATTTCTGCTTAGTTTCACTGCTCTAGCTATCAATGCGGAATACGCGGTCAACGTGGTCAAAGAGATCATCGCGATTACTTGGGGATAGTGCAACCAGTTCAGTAGTTAAGTTTTTTAGTAGCAGATTTGTCGAGGCATACCAAATGTGTCTGAGTAAATGTGATCAATGCGATACAATATATTTTTTTTAAAAGGATAAAACCTTTCATTCTCAGAGGGATAATATAAGCCACTGCTCATTCGTCTTTCCATTCATCTACTCTCCTCCCAATCACAATTGGAAAGACAGAAAAAAGTTCATGAAAACTGTAATTCAGAAAGAGAAATTTAACTAAAGTTATGGCTTGTCATCAAAAAAAGAGCAGATTTTTTCAAAAGTGTAAAATTTATATTTAAAATATAGACTGAAGTGGACATTTTTCTGAGGAAACATTAGCAATCAACAAGAAAATAATCGAAAATTTATTCCTCGTTCGAATCATTTCACCAAAAAGCGATTTTTCTTAACCAGTTTCAACAAACATTTTAATTTGCTGATACGTTTTTTCGATCACTTTTCGTTTTAAAGTTTTGAATGTTTTATTGCTAAAACTGGTAAATAATAATTATATTTCAACATTTTTAGATAAATTCATTGTAAATTTTTGGTTGTTGTACAATCGCCGTTTGGCATAAAATGGCATTAATTTTGATTAGATTTTTTGTTCATATTTTTCTGTTTATTTAGTATAAAAGCCTTTCTAACTGTTGCAAACTCAAAAAGTGGAGTGTCCTGGGAAAAGAGCAACACAACACTCAAATTTTGTCTAAAAATGGTCTATTCAAGTCATTTTTAATAAAAGGCACGTCTTACGAACGGGTTAGGCGAATTTTTTCATATATTTTGGCACTGTTTTGGAAAAACATTATATTCCTTTAATTCCGCTTCGAATCTGTTTTGATATTCACCATTTCAACACCGTTTAATTCTTATTATACTTCATCGATATTCCAGGTCATCATGATTCTAATTTTTTTGCTATTTCATAATTTGCATAATTCATAATAAATAGCTGCAGCAAAAATGCACTATAAGGTTTGCAAAAAACGTTGACAAAATGGGATTGGTTAAAGTGAGTTTAGGGGTTATTATGAGATGAGTTTATTGAAATAAATCGGTAAGAATGATATCACTAATGGGTTACAGGAAAAGAAGATTCAAAAAATAATAAAAGTAAGTAAGAATAAGGTGAGGTTTGATCTAAATGATTTTTTAAGCATTTGTCGAGGCTTGAGAATTTCAGAGTTGAAAGGCACTGAAGGCTTCGGTGCCTTATTGAAATTAATGGTAGATATTGAAATTAATGGTAGATTTCAGTATTAGTGGGTTGCATTGAAAGAGCACGATTTGCGAGATTGAAAAGGATATTCCAATCCCAGTGTATATGGTTACCATAGTAATTAACCACAGTAAGGTTAATTTAATATACTGGTCCGATAGAGTATAAAGGAATTTAAGGAAGTGAAGATTTTAAAAAAATAACACTGTGGAGTTCCATAGAGTATCAGGACTGAATAAAGAAATTCTATGGGCATAATTTTTTCTTAGGAAACCCTCATGACCTATGAGTCTATAATCCGTACAGTAAAATTAAAATTTATGATATTACTAATTCAGTATTTGATCGAGCATAGGAAAATGAAGACTGAATTTTGTAGGGTAAGATAAATGTTTGGGAATGGAGAAGAATTTTGGCAAAACTTGGCAGATTTTGTTAGAAACAGATTAACTCATAGATTACCTGGACACACTTAGGCATTAATAGTGATAGAACAGTTCAGTTGGTTGCTGCTAAATTCGCAGTGCCGATGCTGAGGTTCGATTCTCCGCATGAATAACCCTGTCCAAAAATCTGGCGACTCATCTATATTTCTGTCGCCAAGGGACTCCCTGGCAAATTTGTCCAATGCGACAAGCCAGCGAAGCAAGTTTTCAGTAATGGTGAGGACTCTTAAAAAAAAAAACGCGCACACATAATATAGTAAATTTTACCATATTACAGCAAGTGTTATTTAAAGTGAGAGAATACAAATTGACCTCTCGGTGACCTTTCTTTTTTGATTTTGTTTTTAAAGCTACGAAATTATTAAAATGTATTAGAAATGTTGCAAATGGCCAATTACTTTTTTCACCATTAGCTTGTGATTTTTGTAGATTCTTCAATAATAATTTTCTATTGCCCATAAAATATATACGCTTTTCCTTTATGTAATTCACTTTTCCAATTTTTCACCAAAATATAAAAAATATCTCTCAAAAAATATCATAAAAATGAAATAATTCGTTCATAAATAATAAGTCATGAATTAAATTAATAATAAGTCCCATTTGTTTTTGAAACAGTCTTTCGACCACAATCATTTGAAAACCGGATTCAACAATATTCATTTGATTGTTGATGTGATCGCGACCCTTATCAAACTTTGCAGTTCTTCATTATTCTTCTGGATTGTTCCTGTAAATTGATATATTTGATCCATTTTTCCTTTTTATTATCTGAATTTGCAATCTTTGCTGAGAAATATAAGATCGAACTTATCGATCTGATAAAAAAATCTCGCGATTTTCACATTAAATAAGTCCTTATTGAGTCCTTCCTAATTTTGTTTTTTTTTTTCTATTTTCCCCTGTTCGTTGTGAAAATACCGAATACTCGTTGCGTATTTACTATAGATTTACTAAATTAGGGGTAAAATGATGACTATACGTTGCTGTTTCCATTTTTGAGCGTCATCGCTGAGATTCTACTCCCTGCAAGAATAATCTTCCAAAAATCCGAGTGACTCGCCTCTATTTCTATCGCCACATTCCCTGACAAAAGCAGGCTAGCGGAGAGAGTTAAATGATGTGCGCAAGTGTAATCAAGTGTAATTCGTACAATTTTTAATTTCATTTGATTATTTTATTTTGCTTTTCATCTTCTTTTAAGGTCGACGCATTTTTATTCATAGATTAGTTAATATTGGCTAAAACTTGCCTAAAGTGAAATTTATTGAATAGGAATTTTATAAGGATTGCGAGAAATATGCGATAATTTTGTATGTGAAAGTGGACTATAAAATGAAAATATTTGAATATATTTCTCACAAAATTTTATTGAACAAAATAGTTAGCAAAAGAATCGATTAAAGTAAATTTATCGAAAATGAATTGCTTCCTTTAGCAATTTTCGTAGTTCTCAAACCGGTACTATAAAAGGAAATTGTTTCAACAGAATGCACGAAGTGACAATATTTATTTTTTTAACGACAGTTTTATTCGTCGAAGCTGCGTATGAAGACAGTTAGTATTTTTTATAATGGAAAACTTCCAAATTTTTCCTTGTTTATGTCGATGAATGGAAATGGAAGGGTGGAATGGCTTAGTGGGCTGCCACCTTCAATTTGGAATGCCGGTGCTGGAGCTCTACTCTTTGCTGTTTTTTAAAAATCTGAATGATTCTGGAAATCCACCTTATACTTCTATCGCAAATTGACTAACTGATAAAATTTGCGTGGTCCGATGAAGCGAACTTAATGAGAAATGGTGAGAGCATCTACAAAATGGAACGAGTTTATTTAATAAAATTTAGATAGAATAATTTATTCCCTGGAATAAACTAAAAGATTCGAGATATTTCCAAGAATTACTTATTATTAATTTTTTAAAAGATGTATTATTTCATAAAATTTTTTCTCATTGAAGTTCTCATGCTTTAGGATACGATTTTAAATTCTTACCACCGGATCTTCGACCCGTTGCACAATTCGTTGGCCTATGGAAATTGGAGACGAAAAGTGGAAACATGCGAGAGTTCTATCCGCCAGACCTCATCGATATGGCAATAAACCCCATTCCAAAATTTGGTGCTCGAGCTATAAACATAACGTAACGTATATTATGCATTCTTCTGATTTTATTAAAATTTTTTACTAAAATATTTGATTTTTAAATTTAAGAAAACCATTTGAGCATTATTAAGCATTAAACAACACAATAGCTTTGTTCGATGGTCAGTTGTCATTTCACTAAATCGATGACATGCGGCTTTTTTGCGTAGATTTATTTAATGAATGGAATGAAGTATAGAAAAAATATAAATGCAAATTATAGCATTTTCTGAGTAGTATTAGTTTCCTTCTGCCACTTTGCGACACTCGCAAGGAAACGCTGTGACAGATGGACAAACGCCTGTAATTCTATATGGCTCGAAATCTTAAACTATTCTTGGATGTTTATACCAATTTCCATAATTAAAGCCAATTTATTTGTAAAGCTATAATACTTGTAATAAAATCAAAATCAAAAAATATCAAAATTTAGGCACACATATTTTGATGCTGAAAATAGGGTAATTCGTTCAGAATATGGTTTTATGCCAGTAAAGAATGCTACTAAGAGAGATCCACGAATACATATTGCTTATTTGACAACAAGTAGTGACGGTTAGCCAATAATTTTATTACTTTTCATTTAGTTAAACAATATTATGAAAATAACACACTATCTTCTATTGCAAAAACTAAAGGATTGCACCAAATACTTTACTTGTAAAAACTTCTTGGTAAGCACTTTCAGATAATGATTTGGTCAAACAAGGTTCTAATTAATAGCTTAAGCAACAAAACAGGATTTCCCTCTGATGTCATTTTAATTATTATTGCATGAAATTGAAGGTTATTCGATGATGGAACAAGGAACGGTCAATGGAAATAAACTAATTTTTCATCTTAAACAATTTCTTCGAAGAACATTCAACGTTGGAAACAATGGTATTGAATTAGACATAAAAGAGGTTGGTGAATTCTCGAAAATAATTTAATTTTTAAATATCCCATGACTAATATGTTTTATTTACATTCCACAAGAGATGCATCTAAAGAGGAAAGAGTTTTATTAAAGAGGAAAAATGCGACATTATCGTTTTATATGAATTTTTGGATTTTTAATGCCAAAAATATTTGTATTTATTCATTTTCTTTCCACTATATGAAGGAAACGGAGAAAATAGTGAAATACGGTTTATTTCATCAATTATATCCGTCAACACCATAGTTTTTTTTTTCCAAGAACGCTCACCATTTATGGTTCGTTTTTACACATCTGACTTGTCGGATAAATTTTGTAAGAGACTTGACGACAGAAGTGCGCTAGTTAAATAGGTCGATAGTGCCACAAGGATTTTTAAAGGATTTACTGACTTTTGTAAGAATCAAGCATCAACGCTTTATGCCAAGAACAACCACTGGACCATTCTGCCGCTAAACCATTATTAAATAGCAATTTCATTGATAAGGAATTCATTTAAGTTTGAACGACAATTTCACCTAACCGATTTTTATCATATGACAATGAAAATACGAGCTGAAACATCGCTTGGAATTGAAGGATATACCTCACAGTATCGAAAAGTAATTCCTTCGTGATAAAACGTGATTGCATAATGATTTTGCTTCAGTGCAATTCTCGTCATTTATCTTATAAATATTTTATTTAATGCTTTTTTTTGCCAACGAAATTCTCATTTGTGAAATTTCATTTGTTCTATTCACTGCCACAAGTTTTTTACGGCTTTTCGCTTATTTTAGGATGTGATTGGGTGATAAACTTTATGGTAAATTATGGAAACATATAAAGCTAAACTCTGGGAAAGAAATTAAATTTTCCTATTGCAGTTTTTTTTGAAATGTTATTTAAAGGAAAATTTATTCTAAGTGCGGCTGTTTTTAAAATTTTCATTTCTATATTCGCTTCAAAAAATTTTAGAAATTTTCTCTGAAGCATTCTTCAGAGTAGCAAATTTTTTGCCATAATAATTTAATCTTCCACTGATCATTCTTTTTTTAAATATTCTTTTATTTAACCAGATTTGTATTAGAAAATTTCTCAGTGTTGCGCCTTACTTCATTCCTATTTTTATTTATCATTTTCCAACCTAATTCTGTGTGTAATTCTTCCACAGTTTTTATACGCAAATATATTATGTTAATTTTGCATAAACAAACACTCGAGAAACAATATTTGTTTAGCTTGAAACCCAAATCCAATCTAATCGTATTGTAATTTCTAAGTATTCTTAACAAAGAATGGTTGTAAACTAGTAAATCATTCTTTCACTCGTATTTGGCATTTTCATTCTATTTCATTTTCATAGTTTTGCTAGAAATTTTTAATAAAAATTGTTTTTCAAATAAAATCATCAATAATTCATTTTTCATGACTTTCCTTATCGTGACATTAACTGTTAAAAATCTTTTAATTAATCAAAAATTCACGGAATGAAAATGAAGTTCAAAAAAATATGTGCTTGTATGGTTTTTTTAAATCGAACGGAAGATTTGGGCCGAAGTGAAATTTTTTTCCGAAAAATGAAGTAAATATAGGTGCTGCGGCGGTCGATACATTGCTAGCAAATACAGAACAATGTTTTAAAAGAAGAAACGTATTGGTCGGAAATATTTTAGTTTTTAAAATTTGCACGGTTGTTTTAAAAAATACATCGTATAAACACATCGTTTTTAATTATGTAAATTCAAGAAAAGCAATTATGAGTTTCAGCTTAATCGGCCTTGCTGTCGCATAATTCTCGTCGAGTTTTTCGCATTATAGGAATCCGCTGATAGACTTCTCTGGATGAATAAAAGAAAAACGACCACAAATATGTCAACGAATATTGTATATATTTTGATCGATTAATTTTCTTTTGATCAACAAATAGTTTTTTTCTTGTATTTTTTGTATTTTTTTAATTTTTCCTTCTTTTCAATGAAACTATCAATGAAACTTTCGTTTGATAAGGTAATAATTTTACTATTGGTTCTTCAAATTAATTTATTGAATACTTCATTACAGAACGTTAGGCTATCACAGGAATTCACACATATCTATTTGCATGCTAAACTTTACGACAGATAACGACAAAAACATGGGCAGCAGCCAATCAAAACCTGGATAGATATGATCATTAGAGCATATTAAAGATATATGAATCTAAACGATTGAAGAAGGTTAGTTTCATTTGATTCTAGTGGTCGAATCGGATAGTTTGGAGTACCTTGCTGATATTCATTCCATTTTATTCCATTTTAGCCAGAAAACCTCAATTTAGCTGTCTTTTTCTTTACACTAAAAGATTCAGTGGTCGAGTCTCAATTGGTGACCAAGAAGTAGATATGGATTTTCATAAAATAAAAGAATTGTTCAGGATTGGAAAATAAAAAAACAAAATACATGATAAAATATATGAATTTAAAGTATGTTTGTATCAAACCAGTATTATAAGAAGGATCAGTGTAGCTGTTTCCAATCGAGATTGCCTGAACCTATTTTTGCATAGCAAAGATCTTTTGATCAAATAAACTGGTATGTATAAATTTTTAATTTGGCACCTCAATAAATGGAGAGCATGGCAGGTTTCTTTTCTTGAAAGTTAAGTCTGAAAAGCTACTCGAAATTGAGTTGCGTTGTATAAAATGGTGAAAGTGGATAATTCAGTACAATAACTAATATCAACAAGAGAATGAGCTAAAAATAGATTGAGTCAAGAATGCATTAATTTGTTATCATCAATATCATATATTGATATATTATCTCTAATGTTTCTTTTTTTTGATGAATAAATTATTGAAATAGGATTACAGGATTGCTTAGAAAAAAATTAAAATATTTTCGTTGATTTATACAGTGATTGTGTCCGAATTGTGTCCAAAAAATTGAATAGATCCCTTCAATCTCTGAACAAGATAAACAGATTTGTGTCTAATACGATAATATATTGATTGTATAGATAGTAGATTTGATTTTGTTAACCTTCGGTAACGATTAATATCAATTTGTAGCCGCCTGTCACTCAAATTCATACCGATTAATTCTTATTTGAACGCAAAAATATATTAAATATACTATTTGTTTAATGCTTCGCTTTTTTTCATTTTATTTTTATTCTCAATAAACGGTATTATTTTTTTATTTTTTGTTTGTTATTTTTGTTATTATTATCTTTATTTTCATCAAATATCCATAAATATCCATTACTTAATTATTTTCTTTTTAAATGAGGTTCCGCAATTTTAAAAAAGGTGTTTGCTGGAAAAAAAATCTCATTGCAAATCTCATTCCATCCCGGGAATAAATTAAAAATCGCCGATATTTCATAGACCAATTTGGAAACAAACAGTGCATAGGCGAGACAATGCAAATTAAATCAAAATGCAAGAAATTCGTTGCCATTCTTCGTTAGCACAACTAAGGATGAATTTAACTAAGGATCGATGATGAAAATTGGCCTCTCTTGTTTGTATGTCGACCTTTTTTCGAAAAAATACCGCTTAATTCTTTTATATTTTAACAAAAATGAAAGAAATTCTTCAGTAAAGTAAAGTCTACGTTCAAGAACTTTGGTGAAAAAATATGGCATATTCGGCATAAGCATCGTTATTTTTCTACCAAAATGCTTCATACGATTGATACCAATTGAAGTTATATAATATATATTTCGATAATAGTTGCAACTATATTTGAGTTTATTAAAACTATTGCTCTTAATCATAAAATATTATATATATTATAACTATATAGTTGTAAATTAACCAAAGCAAACTAATATTCGTCTTAGTAATTGTTCAGCTCGTTTCAGAATTGAAATAAGAATTAATCAGTGAATAATAGGATTAAATATCAAATTCATACTTTACTACTTGGCAGATATATTTGCAGTTCAAATGACGAATTGGAAAATTTGAAAGTGCTGGAATTAGTGCATGAGCTTTACTTTACTTTTACTAAAGTCAATGAATCGATATTGCAATATTTTTCTAAGAAATCTGCTATAAACCAATTAATAAATTATTTTTTACCGAGAATAACACTGTGTTCAGTGAAAAAAAATTCGACGTTTATCGAAGCGGTTAATCTAATTAAAATATTCGCAGATCGAGTTGTTTGATTTTGAAGTTCAAATAAAAATTGTCATTTGACCGTTCCGTCGCAAACAATTATTATTCGTTAAAACAATGTCTATAAATTTACGGCACATTAATCAAATGAATAATTTTCGAAGTTTTCATAACAAAGTGCTTTTATCGATACGAAAAATCAATTTTTTATGCTTGATCTACATTCAACGACCTAGCTACACTCATTCATTATTTAATATTGTTAATATATCCTGTTAGGCCAAATAATATATCCTGATAGGCCAAGGAAATATCTTTTCCAAAGCAGTTCGGCCCCAAAATGACTCTGCGACGAAAAGGTTTACTCCTAGTATGGTTAGTGTTATTATATGGCGGTGATAATTTTAAAGCAATATTTCAATTTCAATTTATTCATTCGAAATGCCTAAATAATACTTGTTCTTGCACCATATTTATTTACAATATTATGTAACTCTGCCATGAAAATTTCTAATAACTATATTTGCACTTTCTTTGATTTTAAATTTTATTCGTAATAATGGAAGTTTTATTCATTTGTTTTTATTGTCAAATTTTTCTTAATTAATTTTCAATTCGAAGATCATTCAATGATATATCCGAAAAAAAGGAATGGAATTATTTCTTTAGAGTTTGGCAATTTCATTCATAAATTAATTTAAGGAATTCAAACAATTTTTAATTATTTAATTAAATTAGAAGTATTTTTTATTAGCAATTTTATTGAATTCAAACTAATATTTCGATTTCCCTCTAAAAAATCAATTCTAAAAGTGATTTTTTAATAAATAAGAAATAAGAAAAACCGAATAAAAATTTGATAATAAATTTGATAAATCTGTAGTAATTTTAGCGATAATACTATGGCAATAATAGTTTTTTCATAGTTTAGAGTAAAAAAGCACTAAGAGAAAAGGAATAGTCATGTAATGAGAAATAGTTGATCAAAAAATGATTAGCAAATGATTAGCATTTTCGGGATTAAATCAAACAAATGGAACATTTGTCCATATTAATATTTACATAAATACAAGCAAATTCCAATAATCATGAAGGAAAAATAAAATAAAGTGTTTTTATTAAAAGAATTACTATTTTCGATAAAACTGAAATACTTTTTTATGATCGTCATTAAAATTTTTTCTTTTCAAGTTTTTTAATTTTAACTTATAATTTTACCTTTGATTTCAAATTTCACCGATATTTTCAATGATAAAGCCAGTGGAGCAAATTTTGACGGAAGTGGTCGGCACTTATAGAAAAATAATATAATTTTGATTTTATAAATATAATTTAGAATAAAAAAATATACAAAATTTTTGCTTTTTTTCTTATCGAAAAGGAAAGGAAATTTCTTCTAGGTAAGGCAAAATCTTCTTTTTTTAATAACTCCCACCATTTCCGCGGGTTATGCTGGCAAGAGTGAGATGTTTCCAAGTTCTTCGATCCGACGCCATCGAGAGAAGCCATTCCTTCTTCTACCACCTAATTCC